CGGGGACGAGTTCAGCCCTCAGTTTACCACGCATCCTTCAGTGGCAGAGGCCGGTTTTTACTCCGGCGTGTTCCTCGTTTCCGTATTTCTTTCCCTCCTTCTGAGAAAATGATCTACAACATGGGATCCTATCTGGGGCCTCGAGAACACGTCTTGATTGTTGTCTCCCATTATGAGCAGCATCCGCAACGGTGCTAGGAAGGATCTAAACATGTCAGCCTGTGGTGCTGAAGTCAGTGTTGCTCAGACAAGGGTGAGGTAAGGGTGGGGCTGAACACAGCAGCAGGGGCAGGGGAGAAGGGGGAGGGAGCCCCGCACACAACCCCCGGCACCCCGCCCCCACCGCGGGACCTTGGCTGCTTCCCCTTCCAACGGGATCAGGGATCTTGACACCGCTGAGGCTATTTTCATCGTCTCCGCCAGCTTCCTATTGAACAGGGGAAACCAGAGCCCAGGGTGAAGGGGCTGCGTCCAGCCAGGCTCCCGGGAAGCCCCTCTCCATCCTCTGCCCCTGGAGAGAGCTACCCACACCTGAAGTCACCCACGGCTCTAACTCCTAGCACCCAAACCCCTGCCTGTGACCATGGCCCCCAAGGTCAATGCCCACAGCCTGGCCACAAAGGGACCTCACCCCCGGGTGGGACCTGCCAGGCACCTCCAACACAAACCATCTACACCGCCCTCATCGTTGCTTCCCCACCATAAGCTTTGCCTGCCCTCTTCCCTGCATTTCCTCCTTTCTTGGGGACTGTCACTTGCCACCCAGGTCAGAAGGTCTGGCTCCACCTTCTGAGTGCCTCTGAAGCCACCCACTACCCCCTCCCTAACCCCACCATGTCCTCAATCCACCCTCCAGACTGTGGTCACAGCCCCCTGCCTGTGCCCACCGCCATGTCCTCTGTCCACCTTCCAGACTGTGGTCACGGCCCCCTCCCTGTCCCCACCCTGTCCTCAGTCCACCCTCCAGACTGTGGTCATGGTCCCCTCCCTTCCACTCTCCCACACTAGCCAAGTGGCCTCTGTCCTTTGCCATGTGACCTTGCTCCTTAGGCTTGGCGCAAAGGCATGGCAGTGCTGCTGTGAAGACGAAATGACTGAATCCACAGAAGTCCCAAGAACCGAGAGCTGCAGGAAAGCCCAGTGGTCAGAAGTACAAGTTACAGTCACACAGTCAGGGATTACACTCCAGCGCCCTGCTTGCTGCCTGTGTGTCCTTGGGTGAGTGACTTGACTTCTCTGTGCTCCAGATGCCTCATTTATAAGACACGGAGGGGAAGGGTGTCACAGAAGTTTCTAAGAGGATTAAATGAATACGTGTGAAGGTATCATTCATTCAACAACTGCTTATGAATTGGTGCCTTGTTCCTATGCTGGCTCTGACTCTCACTCGCTGTGTGACCCTGGGAATTTCCTTACCCTCTCTGTGCCTCAGGTCTTCACACGTAAAGTGGGGCTGATAAGAGCACCTATGTGAGTGGGTCGTCATGAGACTGTCCCAGCAAGACACTCAGTCCACAACAAGTGCTCTCCGGGCTGTGCTGCAACTCTTACTGCTGTGGATATTATTGTAGTTATGTTGAATACATTCAAGGCCCTAGGCCAGGTGCGGGCACATGTGGGGCAGCCAGCCAGGCCTGGCTGGTCCTCACAGAGCTTCCTCTTCCTGTTCATAACGTCTGACCTCCCTGCAGCTGATTCCACCCTGCCATGAAGCTGTGCATGTGGAATCGCCTGCTGTGTATGCAGTTGGTGCCACAGTGGAGTCTGTGCACCCTTGGGACTCCTCTCTGACACACAGCAGGAGCAGGATGAAGTGCCATGATGAGGTCCCCTCGCCAGGTTGCAGGAGCATGATGAGGTCCCCTCGCCAGGCTGCAAGTCCTCAGAGCAGGAGTCTGTCTCCAGCCCCAGTGCTCGAGAGGGGGCAAGCAGCTTCCTGGGGAGGAAGAAGTGATGGGACGGACAGGCTGGACGGCCTATTACCTCAGGTGGCCTCCAGTCTCCTTCTCGGGGTGTCTTCCAGCTGTGACCCCACCACTCAGATCTGCCACCCAAAACAGGGTGCCGCTTCTGAAACTAAGGCCATGGGGCTCTGATGCTAAGTCTCCAAATTAAGGCAATTAACAATTCTTTTGAAAATCCCGCATCAAGCTAAGGTGAATCTCAGGAATAGTGGGGTGTGTGTGTGTGTGTGTGTGTGTGTGTGTGTGTGTGTGTTTCCAGCTTTCTAACTTTTAAGACTTGATGCTTCTCTGAAAATTCACAGTCTGTATGTGACTGAGGGTCAGATTTCAGGGGGGTGAGGGTGAGAGAGACAGAAAGACAGAGACAGAGAGACACAGAGCAATAGAGACAGACACAGAGAGACAGAGAGTGCGAGCGTGCAGTTTGCTTGGAAGCCCTCAGCTGCTCCTTTACTGCCTACTGTTAAACTCCCCAGTTGCCCCTGGCCCGCCTGCGTGTTAAAATCCCCTGACATTTGTAAACACGATCAGGGCTTCTGGAGTGCAGCCACACTGAAACCCGCTCAGGATTAAGCAGCAGCCTGGCCCTCGCAGCAGTGCCTGCTGAATGTACCCATCCTTGGGACCACAGCTGACGCCTATCCCGGCGATGGGGGTGCTGACCTGGAGGGGCTGGCAGGTCCAGGCATTCCAGAACTGTCTCTGCAGTCATGTTTAGCCACTCACAGCAGTACCCTGACAATGTCAGCTTTCCGGGCTTTTCTAAAGCTCTATTCCTAACAAGCTGTTTTTATCTTCTCTAGGAGTCACAAAAAGAGAACATTTTACACACACACAAATATTTCTCTAAGAGTCACAAAAAAGAGAACATTTTACACACTCGCACACACACAAATATTTCTACCTCATTTTCTGGGGGAAGGGGTTGGGTGGGAATGATAAACAAATGAATTATTTGGGGGCATTTTAAAAACCTTTTCCCCATTCTTTTTTAATACACTGAAAGCCCTTCTGGGTTTTACACTTATTTGCTCAGTCTGCCTAGCTGGTGTTCCAGTTTCTCAAGCTTGACCCCAAACCACCCACTCTGCCTGCTCCGGCGTGCTTCAGACTTGATATCCACATGACGTGGCCCCGGAAACCAGCTTAGGCTGTTCCCAGCCCTGATGTGAACGTGAAGGTGGCCTTGTGCTCACCGGGCTTGGCTCCTGCCATCCCCTTCCCAGGGCAGAGGGCACTGGCTCAGGTGGCTGCCAAGTGCTTCACAAATGCCCGCGGCCTGAGGGACTCCTTGGAGGTGGAGCTTGGAGGAGACTGACCCCAGGGGTGGCTTGACTTGTTCAGAAGGCTGCCCCACTGCAGTGGGACTGCACCACCTGGGGGCCTCCTGGCTGGAGCTTGAATTGAGCTACGCTCCAGCAGGGACTTAGAGTAGGCCGGACTCCAATCCAAGCGCTGGAGACCACGGCGCTTCAAAGACCAGGGCCTCCCCACTGTTCCTGCAGGTATTTTATCTAGATCTAGAGTCTGTTCTGGGAACACGTCCGTCCGAGTTGTCCAGAGTTGCCACTTCAGGCTGGCGTGAGGAGCCCTGTCTAGGTACCATTTGACTCCAGCAGGTCAACTGAATGCTATGGAGTTAATTCCCTTCATCTGCGGGCGCCCTCCTCCAAGACACCAGGAAAGGCTCATCCAGGCTCCTGCGGATTCCCAAGCCGAGAGTTGGAGGCTCTCCTTACAAGGTGTGTCTACAGCTCAGCGCACACGTCCAGCCACAAGACCCACAAACACCACTTTCAACTCCACCACGGCCTGCAAGCAGCGCCTCCGAGACTACCAGGTAGATGACTGCCAACCTTGGGGTCGCCGATCTGTACTTGTACACAGAGAGCAGTCCTCTCCGGCCAGAAGCACACACCCATAACTCACTTTAAAAAGCAGAGGGAGAAAGTTTTCTGGTCTCTCCACACACAGGGAAGGGACACCCCACGATGCACAAGGGACTAACAGCAAACTAAAGAACATAGTTTATTTTTAATAAAATAGCGGAGCATGAAAAATATTCTATATTACAAATGTACACAAGCAGACACCACTCTTTCCTGGCCTCCCAGAGAGAACCCACTAGACAAAGTTTGTCTTTGCTGACCCTAGTGCTTCTGATCTGTTCGTGGAAATCATTTGTTGAACAAAAGAAACTCAATAAGCCCTTTGGGTGCTTTTGAATGTTCCTTCCCCTAACCCCCCACGGTCCCCCTCCCCTCCACAAATCAGTCCAAACGTGTCTAACATTGGCTTGGTTTCCATTAAAAAGCCACAAAATGTAACACTAAAGGATTTCTGAGGGCCCGGGGCCTCTTAGTTCTTTTGTTAGGAGATGTCTTTTGTTGTCTTTATGTACAGCAAAATACTTGCTTCTCTTTTTCTTTTCGTGGAAAGAGAAAAAAAAATGTATTGCACATCGTTTGGATTCGCAAGCGTGAGGTCTGATGGAGGTTTGTCTTGGAGAAAGACCGTGAAGGCGGGAGGCCGCGTCCGTCTTCAGCGACTCCCAATCCGCTGGAGTGTGGACTCCAGGCGCCCTTTTCTTCCGGCTGTGGCACCGTGGTCCTCCCGAGGGCGGGCCGGCGGTCTGGAGGGCCCCCGGGGCGGGCGCTTGCCGGCTCAGCGGAGGCGCTTGGATTTGCAAATAACGTATCCGTCCTCTTATTTGTAAACAGGCAGCAAAGCCAACTCAGTACACAGATGTGTATTTATGGAAGCTCCCAAACAAAAGTTTCCTTCCAGGGCCGGAGAAGCAGCTACTTCACCGCGCTAGAGTCACACGAGAGGCTGCTTAACGGAAAATCGGAAACAAAGCCCAACTCCGTCTGTCCATTTTGCCTTTCCGTGTAACAGGGCATCCTGAATTTCAGGGTAAACGCTTGCTTTCTTCGTTTTTCTCCTGCTTGTGTTAACAGAAAAACAAACCAGCGACCCACCGGGACCAGCGCCCGCCTGGCTCCCGCGCCCGGCCCTGCCCCGCTGCCCGGCGGCTCAAACGCAGGCGGGGGGCTGGGCGGGCACCTCGCGCTTCCCGTGGTGCGCCTTCGGCGGGTGCTGGGCTTTTTTGTAAACCCCGCCGGCGGTGAGCACGCTGGCCGGCTTCCTGCGGCTCTTCCGCCGCAGCCGGCGCCGGCACACGTCCTGCCAGGACTGCAGCGTCTTGGACGTCCAGATCCACATGCCGCTGGTGATCCCCACCACCAGGAGCATGAAGAGCTTCACCAGGAAGATCTCCACCGCGGGGATGGAGGTGGCCATGAGGCAGTCCGGGGCTCGGGTCTGGTTGTTCAGCCGGCACTGGTGCTGCGTCGCCAGCGCCTTCCAGTAGTCCAGGTTGAGGCGCTCGTAGAAGTAGCAGGCGATGACGCAGGTGGCCGGCACCGTGTAGAGCACCGAGAACACCCCGATGCGCACCATCAGCCTCTCCAGCTTGTCGGTGTTCTCCCCGCCCGTCTTCATCACGCGGCGGATGTGGAAGAGCGCCACGAAGCCCGACAGCAGGAAGGAGGTGCCGACGACCAGGTAGCAGGCCAGCGGCACCAGCACGAAGCCGGTGAGCGCGCTGCCGTCCATGCTACCCACGTAGCACACGCCGGTGAGCTCGTCGCCCGCCACGCGGCGCATGACCAGGATGAGGATGGTCTTCACGGCCGGGATGGCCCAGGCCGCGAGGTGGAAGTAGCTGCTGTTGGCCTCGATGGCCTCGTGGCCCCACTTCTTGCCGGCCGCCAGGAACCAGGTGAGCGTGAGGACCACCCACCAGAGCGAGCTGGCCATGCCGAAGTAGTAGAGCACCAGGAAGACCAGCGTGCAGCCCGTGCTCTCCAAGCCCTCCTGGATGACGTACAGCCGCCCGCCGTCGCGGTCGCACGCGATGCTCTCGGCGCCCGCGAACAGGCGGATGAGGTAGCCCAGCGAGTACACGCAGTAGCACATGGACAGGAAGATGATGGGGCGCTCGGGGTAGCGGAAGCGCGCGGGGTCCACCAGGAACGTGAGCACCGTGAAGGCGCTGGAGAAGAAGCAGAGCGCGGCCCACACGGCCAGCCACACGG